GCTGCGCAGGCGCGGAGGGCTGCGCAGGCGCGGAGGGCTGCGCAGGCGCGGAGGGCTGCGCAGGCGCGGAGGGCGGAGCCTTACACTGGGAGCATTGTGGGGCAAGATGGCGGTTCAGGCGGTTCACCTCGATTCCGACGTTTTCCTCGTGTGCGTCAACCACGCTCTGAGCACCGATAAAGAGGAGGTAATGGGCCTGTGTATTGGGGTACTGAAGGAGGAAGAGGGGAGTAACTCCGGTTGTGGGAGTTCCGGCGAGGCTCTGGGCTCCGTGGCTGCGCAGGCCCAGGCGGCCCGGATCGTCCACATTCGCTCCGTCATCATCTTGCCGCGGTCGGACAAGAGGAAGGACCGGGTGGAGATCTCCCCGGAGCAGCTGTCGGCGGCCTCGGCGGAGACGGAGAGGCTGGCGGCGCTCACCGGGAGCCCCCTGCGGGTGGTGGGCTGGTACCACTCCCACCCGCACATCACCGTCTGGCCGTCCCACGTGGACATCCGCACCCAGGCCGCCTACCAGATGATGGACCCAGGCTTCGTCGGGATTATCTTCTCCTGCTTCGTGGAGGATAAAAACACGAACACCGGCCAGATAGCTTACACCTGCTTCCAATCCGCCCGCGCCCCGAGGAGCGCCGAGTATGAGAGGGTCGATGTCCCCCTCCACGTGGTACCTCGTGCCAGCATCGGGAAAGCGTGCCTCCAGTCGCTAGTAGAGCTGCCCCAGATCCTGTGGCAGGAAGAACTGGCCTCGTATAGGAGGATGTGCGGCCGTCCCGATCAGGACCCGGTAGCCAGGATCCGCAATGCCTCGGCGTACGTGGATCATGTGTGCAGTCAGGTGTCCGCGATCAGCGATCCCCTCCTCCAGTGGCTGGAGAACAGAGTCGAGCAAAACCAAGAGTTTCTGCAGGAGTTGACCCAAGAGAAGAAAGAGCTTATGGAAAAACTTTCTTCTCTAAAGTGAAAAAGGCGATACCCAGTATGAAATTACTTAAAAACTATCGCGGTCTGATGAAGAAACTGTGGAGGACTCATTTTCAAAGACTTCCTACAAAAGCCAGAAGCCATCGGAATTGTATTGTATTGTATTGGCAGTAACGTGGCCCTGGAAGGAGAAAGATGAACACCCAAGAGGCTGAAGCAATGGGTATCCACGGGTCAAATAAAAACAAAAGCCCCAAATCTTCAACCTAAATTTTACATCTTTATAAAAGTTACCTCAGAATTTACCATGGATTTAAGTGCAAGATGTAAAACTGTAAAAATTTAGAAAAAGGTCATGTGGGAATCATTAAAACCACAAAGAGATACGGCTTAACACATTTATCAGAATGGCTAATGGGAAAATAATGAAAATACCAAATGTTATTGAGGGTTCAAAATGGTTTCTCATCGACTGATGATAGGAATGTAAAATAGTATATCTACTCTGGAGAGGAGTTTGGAAATTTCTTTATGAAGTTAAACACAGTTACTCTACAACCCAGCAGTTGCACTCTGGACATCATACCAGACAAATGGAAACCTGTTTTGGCACTAAAACCTGTACAGCTTCATTGAATCTTTATTTGTAAAAGTCCTAAACTGGCAAAAAGAAACAGATGTTTTGTAATGGTTAGATGGCTAAACAAATCAGAATTCTCATGGACAACTGCTCTGTAACGAAAAGGAGCAGACTCTTAATAAATACAGCTTAGAGGGACCTTGTGGGAATTTTGGTGAATTAAAAAAAGTCTCAAAAGGTTATATATGTGTGATCTCATTTGTATAACAAATGTCAAAATTAAATGAACAAAATTAGTGGTTGCTAGGGACAGTGACTGGGTAGGTTGCAGCATTTGTAAGAATATGGGTTGAGGGGCTGGGAATGTGGCTTAGTGGTAGAGTGTTTGCCTAGCATGCATGAAGCTGCGTTCAATTCCTCAGTACCATATAAACAGAAAATGCTGGAAATGGCGCTGTGGCTCAAGTGATAGAGCGCTTGCTTTGAGCACAGAGAGGTTTAAGGACAGTGCCCAGGCCCTGAGTTTAAGCCCCAGGACCAGCAATAAGTAAGTAAGTTAATAAATAAATAGAGTCATACAACATATAGTACATTTTTCTGGCCTGGGCTTTTTCACTCAGCATAACTATCTTGAGATTTGTTACTATCCTTTTATACATAAATACTTTTATTCCTTTTTACTGCTGGATAGTATTTCATTATATGAATCATAGTAGATGCTTATCATATGGTTTCACAGCAACTTCAGAATTAAAATATTTGGAGAGAAGCAGTGATGGGTATCATTTTATTCCAAGTGAATAAGTCCACTCAGGAAGTCAAAATGGAAACCAGGAGGCCAGTTAGCATGGTGGAGACTTCTCGTCATCCAAGGTCTGTTCTGTCTCTTTTCATGGCAATGGAATGCCTGGTTTTGATCTGGGCACAAAACCCTGTGCAGTGCTCTTTGCCAGCCTTCTATGAAGTTATGTGTGGTCAGGTGATTGGGTTGTCCTCAACTGTGTGAACTCCCTTAGAATTTTCCTTGAAGAAAGGAGGATCTTACTATCTGAAATATAGCTCTAATATCTGGTATTCCAGCAGCCATTTTTTTTGGATCAGAATGGACCTTCGCTCATTAAAAATATTTTGTTATTCTGAACTTGTTGCATAAATTTATACACATTATGATGTTTTGATGCATGCATCGTATCAATATTTTGCTTCATTTTTGTACTAGTACTAAGACTTGAACTCAGAGCCCTGAACTCTCACTGCAGTTTTTCTTTTATTCCTGCTCACAACTGGCACTCTACAACTTGAGCCATGTCTCCAGTCTGGCATTTTTTGCTGGTTATTTAGAGAGAAATTCTTAAGGGCTTTGCTGCCTGGGCTTGTTTCAAACCTTGATCCTCAAATCTCCACCTCCTGAGTAGCTAGTATGTGTGAGCCACTAGTGCTTGGCTGCATCATGTAATATTTAAACCAGGGTCAAACTCTATCCTCTCAAATTATCACTTCATATTTTGAAAATATTCTGAATCTATAGTGCATTGTTGTTATTTATAGTCACCCTTCTATGTTATAGCACACCAGAACTCCATCCATCTATAATGCTACTATTGATCAAATTTTCCCCGTCTCTCCCCCTACTCCTGACCCCTCCCTGACCCCTGATAAGTACTATTTTTTACTTCTGTGAGGCAAGGTCAACATTTTTGGGTTTCATATACAAGTGAGATCATGTAATATTTGACTTTAATTCATCTATTTGACCTTATCATGACTTTATGGAATCAGAACTATCATTATCCCCAGAGGCACAGAGAAGTCCAGTCTTTTGCCCATCATCACACAGCAAGGATGTGGTAAGCCTGGGATTCAAACCCAGAAAGCTTTGCTCCAAGGCCCATGCTCTCAATATATTCCATATCACAGAAGAAGTCTCCATATTTAAATAATAAAAGCCCCAAAATCTTGTGGCTAGCAAACATTTTCTCTTGTCTGGGAAGCCCATGTATCCAACATGTGCAAAAGTCACTTTGTTCTCCAATAGTCCTAGGGAAATGAAGGAATAAATTGAACTGAGCCATTCTTGGAATCTAGGTCTCCTAATGCTGCATGTAAAGTACTCTCCTCTGCCATGTGGCTTGTCTTGGAGGCCTGGGAGGCAGACTTGACTAGAGCAGGTTTGAGAAATCAAAGAAGATCTCATGTCAGACTGTTGGCAATGGAACTGAAACACTCAAGCCCAAACTGTCTCGTCTGTTAAGATGTTTGCATTTTCGTTTGTAGTGTTGTCATCGTCCTGGTGGCTCAAAGGTATTTGGAGTTGACATAAGGATACTGTATTTCCTAGGGATTTTTCCCCCTAGTCTGTGTTTATAGATTGTGGGAGAAGAGTTAGAGGACTTCAGACTTCAAGAGTGAATCCTGTTTTAAATCATACTAGTACTACAATGCATGGTACAGTACAGTGGGACACGTGTGCCCCTAGGCACTGCATGGTGCCTGGCTCTGTCTCCAACTTCAGTTGTTTCTCTTCATGCTCAGGGATTCAAGAACTACCTTGGCCTTTTCTGCTGCTCTCCCCCTGGCACATTTCTGTCCTCCAAAATGAGATGTCCTTGAAGGGAAATTTCTCATTAGAAAAGGTCTACACATCCCAGGGGCAGCCATGAGCACATTTAGTCTCAGGGATAGAGTGTTAATTTACTATGCTTCCCTTTCTCCAGTATTTTGTTATAAATGGATGAGTCATTTGCAACACAGTTACACACACACACACACACACACACACACACACACACACACATATCCTGGTCTATCAACCAGGCTTTACGGAAGTAAATTTCTTTGTTTTTAAAAGAGAAAAAGCAAATAGAAATAGTAAGCTGACATCTTAGTGAAATCAAATTATGACTAATTTGTTAAATCCATCATACTATTTCAAGGCAATTCTATTTAACTCACCATTTCTTTCCTATATTCATTTGCCTGGTAAACTCCCATTCTTATGGAGTGCAATGTTTATGCTGCGCTTTTGTGCTATTTCTGAATATCAAATGCATCTCTATTCTAATGGCTTAGTAACTTGTTGCATATCCACTGCCTTTGTTAGGTCATGAGTTTCTTTTTTTTTTATTAGCACACAGTCACACAGGGACATTTCCAATCATGTGTACAATGTATTTCAATGTACTCTCTCCCTTTAAAAACTTTCAACAGATTTCACTGTTCTATTTTCATATATGCAATTCTATACTTCAACCATATTCACCCTCATTCACCTACTTGTTAGCCCAATAGGCTGTGAGTTTCTTGAAGGCCAAAATTATAACTAATGTTATCACATACCTTTGCACATAGGCAAAATGGCAAGGTGGTTCCAATATTTTGAGTCCTTATGATGCATTTCACCTGTATAATACCTTCTTGAATGTGGATGAGACTCAAAAGTATGATGTTTATCATGCGCCGATCAGGTCATGTCATATGACCAAGATAAAGAGAGTTGGCAGATAAAATTAAGGCCCCAAATCAGTTGATGTTGAATTAATCCAAAGAGAAATGATGTTAGGGAGGCCTGCATTAATCAGGTGAAAAACCCTTTAGAGAGCTCTGGGCCCTTCTTGAAGGAAGAGACTGTGGAGGAATTGGTGTAACTAAGGATGGCTTCTAGGAGTTGAGAGCAGTTCCCAGCCACCAGCCAGTCAGAAAACAGGAAGCCCAGCCACACAGCTACAAGGGAACAAATTCTGCTCACACCCCCAGTGAGCTACAAGTGCTCTCATCAATCAAGCTTCTAGATGGGAATGTAGCTGATCACCACCTTAGCTGTCATCTGTGAGACCGTTCGGCTGGGCCTGGGCCCCATGTTGGTGAGGCGATAGCACACATGCGTGCTGTCTTTTGCCTCTCACTGGAGGTGATCATTTGTCATACAATGGTAGAAAATGAATAGGACCCACCTTTCTTAAAAGACTTGCTGATGTAAATTTAGTCAGGGAAAGAAACTGTTTAAAATGAATCGTGAGTAAGGTTTTGGCCAATTTAAAAAATGTAGACATTTTAGAGAATGGCCATCGTCCTCTGGGTCTTCCATCCGTGCAATCTCCTTTACATACATCCAAGAGTTCCATAAATCCTGGCTTCTGACTGTCTGCAAATAGGAAGTGAGATTCTCTCCAGCCATCATGCAGCATTCTGGAGAGATAAAATGGATCAAAATTGATGTTGAAATGAGACCACCATCATTTTGTGTCTGCTCACCATGAACAGAGCTCAGGATGATTAGAAAATGCAAAACACATGTGAACAGCTCAGACCCCTTTAGTTAAATCACATTTACATAGATCAGTTTTCCCAAGAGACGTTAAGTTAGCTGAACTTAAGCAATTAAAAAAAACCCTAGAATTTTTTGCTAAAGCCAAGAAAACATGGATGAGTTAAACTATATCAGATATAATGGTTTGTTTTGA